GGGGGGGGGGGGACTTGGGGTGTTTTCAGTACGAAGGAAAATATTTCGTATGTAATTTAGACACATACTTTGGGAGTTGAGAGTAGAGGTAAGAGTGGTGGGGCTGGGGAAGAGGATGTCTTTTAGAAAGCGAGAACACAATTGAATGTTACTTGTGAAACTTGTTTCCCTTGCTTCATTTTAAAGGAGCATGTTTTTCTAAAAAATAATGTTTTCCAAATTTTTTGACCAATCGAACATGAGAAGATTAAAAAACATTTCTGTCATATACTGATTACATGTTAAAAGATTCATTAAGCAAGTACAAATAATAGAATTTAAACCTAGTAAATCTAATGGATAGTAAGAGAATTTCATGCTCAAACCTATAAAGTTCAAATTCTAAATTTGACCGTGTCGGAAGACCATGGTCGTTGATTGTGAAAACTATAATAAAGAAGTTTTTGGAAAGATGAGAACAATCAAAACGTTATTCAGAGGTGAAAACTTTCATTGCTTAACAAGAGAACTTCACAAGCATTGCAACTAAAAGAATGTACAAATGCACAACATACAAGATCATTATGATCTTCACTATCTACTCTTCAATATCTCCATTATGTTGGAATCAACAAAATTTCAAGTGGCTCATACAACTTCTGTTTGGTGTTTATACGTCGCACTGTGTAACTTCATGAACAGGTTGAGGAATATATGTACTGGTTCAATCATTTCGACGTCACTGAAAAGAGGAACATCATCACTTGTTGCGTTACATTTCACTATCAAAGATTGAACATATGGTCTCCTGCCGTAACCAATTTAACACCTCTGAGTTTGCACTGCTGGCCTTAATGTAGACTGATCCGAACTGCCTCGTGCACCTACAGGAGTCTTGCACATAAACTGGCTAGTATCTGCTATTATCGCTGTCTGGCTGCAAAAAGGAATTTTGTCCATCAGAACTGACATATTTCTCTCTTGATAGTACATCAAGGACTTTTGACAGTAAAATTGCATATAATGCAGCTAATTTATGCCGTACTTCCAAGGAAAAAACATGTCTCTATTCATACGGACCCCCGCCCCTGCACACATAAGAACATGTTTCTGCTGCAAGAAGGAAAATCTTGACAAAGGCTGTTGTTTCCGTGGTGGCAGTATGTTTAAACCTTATGCGCCTAAAGGGTCCATTAATGTTCCAGAATATGGCACTATGCCGAGGGGCAAGGTCTGCGTAGACTCTACCCTCCCTAGACCCCACTTGTGGGATTAGTGCTGATAGTTTTCTTTTTAGCCGACCATGCAGCACTTGCAAGAGTACCTGCAAGGGGCTTCACAACCTATTAATTGCAACCAAAGGGCAGCCCAGTGCACTAAGCCCCCGCTATGCGCAGGGTCCCTGTAAGGGCTGGACCACAAGGATCTATTGTACGCAGCCTCACCCTGCATTTCTACAAGAGACTGTTTCCATAGGTCGTACCCATGACCTCCTGGTCACATGGCAACAACATTACTAGTTCCGCCAAGGCTCCCCTTCAACCTATTAGTTTCTACCATTTCAAAAAGGCCGTATTGGCTCTGGGTGGCAATTTTACATGATTAATTCTGCAGCGGAAGGATAATAGTCTACAAATTGCAAAAAATTAACGGAATAAGTGTACTAAACCTGGTGTTCATTTCTAAGTCACATTCTTTCACTATGTTGTATCCTAGGAAGTTTTATTGCCATCGTCTTTGTTCCCTTCAGTGCTATCTACAGGACGTGTTGGTGTCGAATCCTTTGAACTCAACTGTGCTTCACCTTTACTGTTAGTTTCTCCACTAGCAGAATCTCCCATGATAGAGTTCAAGGCAAGCTGACCAGAATAAAGGAACAAACCAATAGAGTTGATGCCAAAGACAAACGTCGCGAGGTAACATATTCCATTTATTATAGTTCTGCAAAAAGTTGTAAATAAGAAGGTTTCATAATCTTTCAACAGTAAAGCAATGCATTAGCGTAAAGGGAAGCTATTAAAAACTACCTAATCGTTATTGTTATCTGGCGAACCTGTTGCAAACACAAAGAAAGAACGATTATCAAATGGTAACCAATAGAAGTATGAAACTGAAGGATCCAATCCTCTTCATTAACATCAACCAAACAAATGACACCGAAAAGTGAACATTGGCAAGATTCTTTCACTAGAGGTTCTGTTCACATTTGCAAAATCTACTCTGCCAAAGGTAAACAACTGATGGTATGCTATGTTCTAGTTACCATCAATTCTCTACTAAAGAATAGTATAGATTATTCCCTCTCACCCCGTTTTCCCCATTCTGAATAAGTTGTCTGAATGTTTACCCTACTTGTTATGCATTATACGGATCACAGTGGAAAAAATGAAGAAAAGAAACAGCAAATGTAGTAAAGGCAAATGAAATGCAAACCGAGAAACTATCTGAAAGTGCTTGGCGGTTCAGAGAAGCTTCGACGGTAGTGGTGAACTTGTAAAGGAGAAGTGCAATAACACCTGCTGTTAAACCTCCCAAGAGTGCCTGAGCAGGTGAAGGTGGAGTCTTGGCATCAATTGGCGTTGGCGTAATAGCTTTCAAACTCTCCACTGCCTCCTCCTTCAACGTTTTCTTCGTTCCCGTTGACCTAAGTTTCTAATACCAGCAAAAAGAAATCCCACATTATTATCACAAAATAAACATGTATGTTCCTTAATTACCTTCAGTCTATGTTGTTCGGGCTCTCCAAAAATATCATGTCGAGTACATATGCATTTCTAATCAACTGAACAAGAATTGCACAGCTAAGAAGTGATATGCTTTTGCTCATATTTCCATAACCATATTCAATGAAATTAAAAATAAATAGTGAAAAAACATGAGGATGAGAGCATGTACAACCAATTTCATTCCAATAACCTTCTTCCACTCCTTGAGTGGAGGATCTATTGAAAACAACCTCTCGTACACTCTACCCTCCCTCAACCCCACTTTGAGCGATTACACTAGGTATATTGTTGTCGCATTACTATTTGAGAATTCATATCATCTTTTGTTTTCTCAAACGGGATTTTGTAATATTTTTATGCAGACTGCAAATAGAGGCGGAGCCATGATTTCAACTCAATGGGTTGTTGATTTGAGCCTAACAAATTTAAATGCTAATAATATGTTCTAAATTTACTATGTCTATACATTCAATAAATATCATAACAACATATACATTGTTTGAGCAAAAGCTATTGCCGAACCCACATCTAGGTTTCGACCTCCGAATTTGACTGCAAACACGTAAATATACTCATTTTATATGACACTTTTCTTTTCCGGTTCGTTCCAAAAAAAAACTACACTTTTCTACATCTTAAAATAATTGCATGTTTTACCTTCTTTCAACTTCGTGCCCAATCAAATACCGTAACATAAATTAAAACTGAGGGAGTATTTCAAAATGCATTCAAATTCACATACAAAAAGGACCAAAAGTGTCCTTTTAAAGCTGAGTTCAATGTACTAAGCTTCCGTTATGGTCGATTTTACGCAATCTTACCTGCATTTCTATAAGAGGTTGTTTTTATAGCTAGAACCGTATTAGCAAAATTCACACTATATACAGTAAAAAGACACAAGCTTTTACCAGTTCTTTGGCTCGTTTAGCGCGGCGGCGGAGGGAGCGGAAGAGGAAAACCGATACAGCTCCGGTGAGGAGAAGACTGGTGGCGGTTTGAAGCGGCGAAGGGTCATCAGAAGTAGCAAAAATATCCGTTATCGAAGAAGGGAGCTCAATGGGTCCTTCCTCCGGTGGCGCGTTGGTTGTTTCATCGACGGAAATAACCGTTTCATCTGGGGCTTCAGCTAGCAACGACGATGGCGCGTGTGATTTAGTGGCTGATACAGAACGGCGCGTGGAGTTGGATTTTTGAAGGAAATTGTGAAATGGAGTGAGAGAAGTAATGGGGTTGGGAGGAAAAGTGAGAGGGAAGAAGTAATTGGATGAGAGGAAGGATTTGGTTTGCAGCATTTTTGAGTTCTTGGGAGTTTATGTTAATGGTGATGAAGAAGATAAGAGTTATGCTCTTCACACACACACAAAAATAAATAAAAAAATAGGACAATATTGAATAAAAATCTGGATTTTTTTTGGTACAAGTAAAAAAAAATCTCATATGTCCCAATTCTTTATTTGTTTGTTACCTAAGGATAGTAATTTATCATAGTGGAATAGGAATATATTGGGATGTTATCTATTTTAATTAAAAGATAAGTGTTAGAAATATACCTAAATTATCCTTCTTCTTTTTTTAGTTTCATATTTAAATTTTTGAGAGTGTGAGTTTTATACTTAAACTATCACTTATTAGTTTGAGAAACAGAGATCTATTCAAAGTAGACTATTATTTGCAGTAATGTTCTACTTTGGCATATTTGATTAATTAATGTGTTTGAGTGATTTCCTTTAGCCTAGCTTGAAAAGCTTCTTTGTGACTTAATAAAAAAAAGCTTACTGACTTGACCATCAGTGACATGATATACGCTGTTATATACACAGTGATACATGGATGAAATGGGCTAAGACAGGCCCACACAATGGAGCAGCGACTCTTAGTCTTTTAGAACAGGTTCAAGTTTGGGCCTGCTAAGCCCAACAATTTCGAATTTGGCAAAAGCCCAATTTGAGATTTTCCTCCCTTTATTATTGTATTTGATTATTTCTTATTTGACTCTAACTTTTTTTTATTAATTTAGATGAATCCTTGGGGAGATTTCTATTTCATTACTTATTTACTTTTAAGTATTCAATTTTCAAAACCTGTTTTAGTTAAGGTAAATTTAAGCTCTAAGACTAACTTGAGAATTATTGATATTCTTTCAAATTTAGTAACTAACTTTGAATCCACGTTTATGAGTTTGAGCTAATCATTTAGTTCAAAGTCTTGACTCGGATAAAGTTGGGAATTTTTTATATTTTAACATTTAAATTGTTCCATCACTTGGAATAATAAGAGTGTATAAGTATCAATTAGTGTTTTAGCAATTTTTTAAAACAAGTTTTTTTACAAGACTTAGAGTTTCTAACATGTCTTAGAGCTTAAATTTAATCACATTTCACTTAATTACAATCCCTCATGTTGATGGCCTTCCTCTAGGCACAGAAACAGCCTCATATGTGCGGCATCTATTGCGATCGCGTTAGTCCCCGCACGAAAATCATGTAACTTTGAAGAAATGATTAAACCACCAAAAGGGTACCCTTCGTCAGAAGTAAAGCTTCGTGAACACGAAGCTGGTGGACTATTTTCCGTATTTCAAGAATACGGTAGTGGTGCAACTTTTTTTGAACGTGTCACATCAGGATTCGCTATATCAATTCGGACATGTAGGGAACTAGAAGGGCCATTTTGTGACTATTTGTCTAGCCAATATAACAAACCAGTGTACCTAACCTGGCCGGTATTGACCGAGCCATCACCTAAAGATCGTCTAGACAAAAAATGGGCTAATTGGCTCCAACAGTACAAGCTAGGGTCTGTCCTGTTTTGTTCTTTTGGGAGCCAATTGATTCTCGAAAAGGATCAATTTCAAGAACTCATATTAGGGATTGAATTGACTAATTTACCCTTTCTAATCGCATTAAAACCTCCATCTGGTGTCAAGACGATCGACGAAGCCCTACCGGAGGGATTTGAAGAGAGGACTAAAGGCAAGGGAATAGTATGTGGGGATTTTGTGCCACAAATTGGGATTTTGAGTCACTCTTCAATTGGATGTTTTGTGAGCCATTGTGGTTTTGGATCAATGTGGGAATCTTTAATGAGTGATTGTCAAGTTGTGCTTGTACCAAAGTTGGGTGACCAAATTTTGAATACTAGGCTTTTGGCTAATGAGTTAAAAGTTGCTCTTGAAGTTGAAAGAGATGAAAATGGGTGGTTCACAAAAGAGAATTTGTGTAACATTATAAAAAGTGTGATGGATGAAGGGAGTGAATTAATCAAGAAAAAACATGTCAAGTGGAAAGAGACACTAACAAGGCCAGGATTCATGAGTGGTTATATTGAAGAGTTCATCAATGATTTGCACAATATTTAGAAGTTCTTCAACTTTTTATTTTGGGTGTTATGCATCGAGGACGAAGCTATATTTCTATTTACTATTTCGACATAATTCAGTTATTTCAACTCTAAATCTGTATTGTTATTGCATTATCTTAAACGCTAGTCTCTACCTGTGTTATTTATCCTTTGCTAGTATATTATTTCTGCTTTGAATATTGAATTGTATAATGTGTGTATGTCGTGATATAATAAATATTATGATCGTCTTTTTATCAATTATCCATATATAATTATTTTTGGCTTTAACTTGATAAAGTCTAAGCTCTATGCATAACGAGAAGGTGAGTAGTGATCGATTACACAGTTCAAATTTGTGACTTCTAAATCATACATAGATAATTATACCGTTACTCTAAGGCTCTTTTTCAAACTTATGCTTGGTATCTGAGTAAAATAATTATTCGTACATGTTGTTTACATCAAATCAATAAAGATAAATGCCCCTTATATATTTATTAATTACTTAATCATGATTAAGTTATATATATAGATTACTATATATGATTTAAATTGCTTGGTATTGTATAATTAAAATTATAGACCGTTCATGCCTCTTTTCTTATTTGCTTGTACTTCTAATTATTTGCTTTCTTCTCCATCGTAACTTTGTAGAGATTAATGGCAGCCATCAAATTACACCACCTCTCACCATTTTGAAATTACCGTCATAATTATGTTAATCGATACACCACAAATCGCAGATAATAATTCTATCCTCATTCTCCACAATCAGGAACTATGGACCCAATTTTTTTAAAATCGAAACAAATTTAAACTTAATACAATGACATCAACTAATTTTCTTTAATAAACTTTCAGTACAAGGAAGATTCTTGATCCTATATTCAATACTCAATAGACCCACGGAAATTCTTGTGACCCCTTGCAATTTTTGTGATTAACGGAGCTCGTTTGTGGCAAGTCAAAATTAGAACTCAAACTTTTAAACTAATTTTAATGGTGATTTCAAGTTGTGCTTCAAAGTTTCAACCTTTAGCTTTAATTTTCAGCAATAGAGAATTCTTCAAACCATCGACGAACTCAGCTTTTTCTCCTAATTTAAAAATATAAATTCAAAAAATTCATATGATTGCTCATCGATTACCCCTGAACTATCGTAAATGGTAAGCAGATACCCTCCGTCATACTATTGGGACATTGATGCCCTTGCCGTCTAAAAACTAGAGCATATATGCCCTTCACTCTAACGGAAGACTAAATAGGGACACGTGGTGCAATCTTATCCATCGATTCGATATTTAATCGACGGATAAGATTATGACACGTGTATGTCCCGTTAGTATAAAGGGTATATATGCTCAGTTTTTGGACGGCAGGAGCACCAATGTCCCAAAAATATGATGAAGGGTATCTGCATACCATTTATGATAATTCGGGGGTATATTTGTCCTTTTCCCTAATTAAAATTATTGACCATTCATGCCTTTACTTTTGTTACATTCATTTTAATTTTGATATTAACGTTTAACTAGTAGGCGATAGAAGTATTTATCATAATTAACTTTTCTATTAGTTTTTTTTAAAAAAACAAAGAGAAAATGGTCAAATGCCCCCTAATATATATACGAATTTTTAACTACACATTTTAATTTCACGGGAGTTCTATCACCCTCCTAAACTATTTAAAATTGAAATTATTACCACGCTAAATACCTACATGGCAAAGCGAGTTTATTGTACTCTCTTTGAGAGAGTGAAGATCAAAAATAAATATTAAAATTTTACTTTTAATATTTTTTTCATAAATATATACATTATCTTTATTCCTTTCTTTTCTTATTTGTTTCTACTTCTAATTATTTGCTTTCTTCTCCATAGTAACTTTGTAGAGATCAATGATAGACATCAAATTACACCACCTCTCACCATTTTGAAATTGCTTCAAATTTTAGATATAAGCTTCTCTCAACATTTTGATTTTTTTGATATTACCCATTCAAAACGGAGCTCGTTTGTGGCAAGTCAAAATTAGAACTCAAGCTTTTAAACTAATTTTAATGGTGATTTCAAGTTGTGCTTCAAAGTTTCAATCTGTAAGTTCGATTTTCAGTCATAGAGAATTCTTCGAACCATTGACGAACTCAACTTCTTCTCCTAATTTAAAAATATAGATTCAAAAAATTCATATGAATGCTCATCAATTTTCATAGAGGTCCGGCATTCTTCAGATCCAAACATTTCAGCTATGAACTCAACTAGCCTAATATTTTCAGCTTCAAACAATTTGCAACCAACATTATAATAAAAAAGTTTCAATATATGAAGATCCAAGAAACACATCTACAAATTTTGAACTTTTGACCTTCAACACGACTTTAGAATAATAAATTAAAAAGGAAAAAAATTTTTTTAAAAAATATCCGCATGTCAAACGTGTGCATTTCACCTGTCAACATAAATGTGATTGTGGCTTTTTAAGGATATAAATTTCAATTTTAAACAGTTCAGATGGGTAATAGGATTTCGGTGAAATCAAAGTGTGTAGTTGGAAATCCGAATATAGATTAGGAGGACATTTGACCATTTTTTCTTTTAAAAAATGTTGATAAAAAATGTTGAAACGACAACTGACTCCGTCAATTTTCTTATAAAATATAGTTCTTTATAGTTTTCACATATTTTGTGCTAAAAATAACCTAACAAACGTCGTTAAATTTTTTAAAAAATCTGTCATTATTTCGTCGAATTTCTTTTATTATTTAGTAATATATTATATTCAATCTTATTTCTCGTTATACTCATAATCTCTTGATCATATAGCAACAAAAGTTTAACCTTATCATTATTTCCAAACTCATTTTGCTATCTATCTTCTAATAACTTGTCATCTTCAAATTTTCCAACTCATTTTGTTATCTTGAAACTTCTTATCCTCATCTTGACACTAATTTGTTTGTATCTGTTTATCCAAAAACTTTGAAGACTTACCATTATTCCATCTCCTATATAAATAAATATTACGCATTGCAACACCAACTTTTCACAAAAATATCACTTTATTATAAAGTTTGATTAACTTCTATACGTCGATAATTTAAAAGAATTTCGTGATAGAGTTCTCCATACAGCTAGAGAGAGACAATTTACAGGTATGTTTTCCTCCAAAAAGAATGTTGTTTTGTGAAATAATAAAGTAAATATTTGAAGAATAATATATGCTTACGTACGAAGAAAAAAAAGAAATAATATCGTTTGTTATTTTTTAGTGTCGGAAAAAGATATTGAAATTAGTAATTATTAAAAAATTTAAGTCAGGTATATTGACATTGTAAAAAATTATGTGTCATCGTGTTAAATTAATTATAATTATCTAACTTGATGAAATAAAAAATCATATAGAATTAAACTCTTATGATATGGTTAAATTGATAATTTTGTTGTAATGATTAGTTCTTCAATTTATTTATCAGAAGAAATATATTTAAATCTTATTCTTACAAAAGAATGGGCTGGAAACAACACTATGATTTTCAGGCCCAGAAAAAGGCCCATGTGATAACTACTACTCTAGTGCAGAGTCGAGCCCTGAGATTTGACTGTGGACTTAAAAAATATCTATAGACGCTTTACATTCAATCATGATGGATAAACTTACATTATTATTTTGTCGGCATAGAGTAAATCGATGCGTATATCCTTGATATCTTTATTGCTTCTTTTCTAGTAAAAGAAGTTCACAACCTATGGATCTTCTACATCCACGTGACTTTCTAAATGAAAAATTTATAATGGTGATGTATGAACCAATTTACGTGCATCTCAACTAATTTCACGAGATATCTATCACCTTCTACCAACAACATGTATCAAATAACTCTATTTACTAAGATTAGAATAAATGAGAATTTCATTTGAACTTCTAAAGGCTTACTTTAGACCTAGGGTAGAAGTTAGCTTTGACATCTTGTTTGGATCAACTCATTTTAAGTGTTTTAAAGTTAAAATAGTTTTAAAACACTTTTCAAGTGTTTGAGTAAAATTAAAAGTTTTTATAAGCACTTAGTTTTAAGCTACAATGACAAAAATAAATTAAAAGTCATAAATTAGAATTTCTAACTTATGAATTTCAACTTATAAGTAAAAAATGAAAAGACAATTCAAACAGGCTCTTAAAGTTGGAAATTTCATTTGAACTTCTACAGCCTAACTTTAGACCCGCGGCGAAAGTTAGCTCTCGCATAGCTAAGTTTGGTTATTTCATTTTAATTTCTAAAGCCTAATTTTAGACCTTGAGCGGAAATTAGCTCTCACATAGCTAAGTTTGGTTATTTCATTTTAACTTCTAAAGCCTAATATTAGATCTTGAGCGGAAGTTAGCTTATCATAACTAAATTTGAAATTTTCATTTAAATTTCTAAAGCCTAATTTTAGATCTGGGCCGAAGTTAGCTCTGATAGTAATTAAACTTCGGTCCCAGATCTAACTTTAAATCATCACATCTGAAAGTAACTGTCACAATCCAAAAATGGATGTGATGGCACTTGTCTTATCCCATCAAGACAAGTCATCCTAAAATTCAATCATATCGATAGAGTGCGGAAATAAAACAAAAGTCCAATAACAATTATTAATACGAATAACAAGTCGACTTAATTCAATTCTCAAAACCTGGTTGTCACATGCACAAGCCTCTAATGTAAAAACTAGAATTGAAATAAAATACGCAAGTCTCAAATGACGTTGTCTTTCAAGTAACAATAGAATCATAAACATTAGTAAGAAGGTCCGCTGAGATGATAAACAACTACCTCACAAATCTCCACAGAAAGCCTCAGAAACGAAGGGAATAGAAGGTATCACGAAGATTCGGGCCCGTAACCTACAAAAATGTAGAAGACACGGTACTCAACAAGCAAACCTCTAAACACAAGCTAAGGGAACAAAATACGGGTACTCCTTACACCCTATCCGAACCTTCACAACTACAACCTGCATAAAACCAGCCCAACCTAA